CTTCCTCTAGGAAAGATCATGGAATTGTGGAATGGTTTGGGTTGGAAGGGACCTCAGGGATGGTCCAGTTCCAACCCCTGCCATGGGCAGGGACCCTTTCCATCAGTAAAGATCAAGGAATTGTGGAATGGTTTGGGTTGGAAGGACCTTAGAGACCATTTAGTTCCAACTCTTGCCATGGGCAGGGACACCTTCCTCTAGGAAAGATCATGGAATCGTGGAACGGTTTGGGTTGGAAGGACCTTAAAGATGGTCCAGTTCCACCCCTCTGCCATGGGCAGGGACCCCTTCCACCAGGAAATATCATGGAATCATGCAATGGTTTGAGTTGGAAGAACCTTAAAGATGGTCCAGTTCCACCCCCCTCCTGTGAACAGGGACACTTCCTCTAGGAAAGCTCATGGAATCATGGAACGGTTTGGGTTGGAAGGACTGTAAAGATGATCCCATCCCAATCCCTGCAATGGACAGGGACACCTTCCAGTAGGAAGCATCATGGAATCATGGAATGGTTTTGGGCTGGAAAAGACTGATGATCCAGTTCCAGCCTCATGCCTTGGGCAGGGACACTTCCTCTAGGAAACATCATGGAATCATGGAATGGTTTGGGTTGGAAAAGACCTTAAAGGTGATCCAGTTCCACTCTTGTGTGTACAGGGACACCTCCCACTATCCCAGGTTCCTCCAGCCAGGCCTTGGACACTTCCAGGGATCCAGGGGCAGCCACAGCTTCCCTGGGAAACCTGCACCAGGGCCTCCCCACCCTCCCAGGGAAGGTGAGGGGGGTGAAGTTTTTCCCCATCTTCCTGTGACACCCCTTTGTGACATTAAATCACTCTGGAAGAGTCAGGTGATGAGAAGGCACTGTCCCCTCTTCATTAAAATTCTTAAAAAGATTTTGGAATTTGCTTGGAAACAAATAAAACTCCTTTTATTTATTTTTTTTTTAATTTTTTTTTCCTTAACAAAGGGGTCCAATCACAGAACCACAGGGGATTGAGGAGCTGGCCCTGAGAAGTCTTTGTGTCTTTGCCAGGGCAAAATTAACTGGCTCTGGAAGGATTCTTGAATTAAAAATAATGTGAAAGAATCAGGATGTTTAGAATATTTGTGGAGTCTCTCCTGGAAGGGTCTTTCCTTGTTTTTTTGGCAGATCTTGCAATGGGTTGAAATGAAGGATAAAATCCTCTGTATAATTATAACCACACAGCAGCTCCGTTGGTCTGAGGGTGTTGGGATGCACATCTTGCAATGGAATGAATTTTCACAGGATCATGGAATCACGGGGTGGTTTGGGTTGGAAGGGACCTCAAAGCTCATCCCATCCCATGGGCAGGGACACCTTCCCCTGGACCGGGTTCCTCTCGTTTGCAGGGTGGTTGGAGAGACCAGCAGAGCTTTTGGGCGCCGCGTCCTCCGTGTCACTGTGCCCCAGGCAATCCAGGTGTCACTGTGCCCTGGGCAATCCAGGCACTGGGGCCTCCTGCTTGGCAGTGAAAGGGCAGATATTTTGGGAATGAGCTGGATTTTGGGCCCAGGTGTTGGTGCCACACGAGGGGTGTGGTCTGACGTGGAGCTGAGCCCGAGGCCGGGGTGTTCACAGGGGGGATGGAGCTTCACTTGGCCCTTGGGTAGGACCAGAAGTGACTCCCGTGGACTTTTTTAGCTTGGCACCACCACGGGAAAGCTGAAAACAGGGAGAATCCAGGCTCTAGTCCTGCTTTCCGTGTGCCTGAGCCCTGCACTGTGACCAGGAGCAGCCACAGCTCTGAGCTCTGCTGCCCAGCAGGACCATGAGGAGACTCCAGCTTCTTTCCACGGCAGGAGGGACACGGCCCTTCATCCCTGGGGATGACGACTGTCTGGTTTTTCCAGCTGTGAGAAACCTGGATCTGGTTAGGAGCAGGTCCCTGTTACTCTCCACCCACCCTGGAGTGCCTTGTGCCACACGGGTGCCACCCATTTGGGAGCTGCAGACCCTCCAAACCCACAGTTTTCCTGGAAAAAACAGGGAAAACGCCTCTCATGGGACAACCCCCCTGCAGCAGCTACGAGCCCTGAGATCCCTCCTTCCTACCAGGAGCTGCTGGGTCTTTTCCTCTGCATCCCAAATGCCACAAACCTGCCCTTCAACCTCTGGCTCCTCCTCGTATCCCTAAGAAGTGGCTTTTCCAGGTGCCCAGCCTTGCACTTCAGCGCTTGTGGTTTTGCAGCTGCTGAGCTTTCACAAAGCTGGGTTGGAGTCACGTGCTGGAAGCCCCAAGAGCTCCTTCCCTCAGCTCCCAAAGGAGGGAGGGCTCCCGTGGGATCTGGGCTTTGCAAGACGAGAGTTGGGACTGGTTTTATTCCACTGGCTGTGCACAAGCACAGGTTCCCTTCCTAGAGACCTTCTTCGCATCTCCAGGCCGATTCTCCACGATTCTCCACGTCTTTCCTGGCTCACTGAGGGTCAGAAGGTGTTTGCAGGGAGGGACCAACCTCCCTCTCCCCAAGGAAGAGGTGGAACTGCTGTTTTCAGGCCTCACCAAACTTTAAACCCACAGCTTTACACCCAGAATTACAGGGGAACCCCCCGAGCTCCTGGGCCCCAAATATTCCCTGAACTGTGGTGGCTTTCATGAGATTTACACCTTTGGGATTTACACTTTTGGGATTTTCACCTATGGGATTTACATGTGCCCAGATAAATTAATTCTGCTTGAGCATCTTCCTAAACCGGGTCCTCCTGAGCCACCGACAGGGAGAACCTGGAGGGGATTTTCAACCTCCTGTGGTGATTCTGGTGGGAACAACCACCCAAGAGCCACTTTTGCAGTGGAAAAACTGCTTTTTAAGACCCTCTCCCTGAAGAAGGGGTCTGGCAGGGCTTGGTGGTGCTGGTGCTCGGCCTCCCTCCCTGCGGGCCAGGCAGTTGTTGTGGCTCCATGGGAAAGGGACAGAAAAGCCACCATTAAATGGTTAATGAGGCCCCTGGGACATCTCCCTCTGCCTTTGTGGGCCCTGCTCTGTCTCTAAATGCACCTTGATCCCTCTCCCACATCAAAGCAGGCGCTGGATTAGTGGGGACTGGGGTAGAGGAGATGGTCTGGGCTCCTTCCGTGGTCACCAGTCTGGGCTCCTTCTGTGGCCACCGGGAACTTCCCGTGGCTCCGCGGCCGCTCCTCGCCCTCAGCCTGGATCGTCCCCGGCCATTTGTGCTGCTCTGGGGCTAAAGGATGGACAGGACAATTCCTGAGGTTCCCCCTGGGCTGTTCCGTGGCCGCTGCCCCTTTGCACCACCTGCCTTTGAGGGGATTCCAGGTAAGACCTTCCCAAAACCTCTCCCTTCCTCCTGCTGGGCTGGGGGGGACCCGCGTGGGTCCCACCCCTGGTGTTGGTGGGCAGGGCTGGGGGGGGTCAGGCACTTTTCTAGGCGGGAGAGAGGAATGGATACGAGCCACCAGGGTGCCCTGGCAGCCAGGAGGGCCAACCATGTCCTGGGGGGCGTCAGGAAAAGCATCTCTGGGATTGTCCAGAGCGGGATCATCCTGCTCTGCTCTGCCCTGGGGCGGCCTCACCTCAGTCCTGGGGGCAGTCTGGGCACCACGAGGTAAAAACGGTTTAAAGCTCTTAGAAAGTGTCCCCAGGAGGGACGCGGGGATGGGGAAGGGTCTGGAGGAGCAGCTGAGGGTTTGTTCAGCTGGAGGAGACTGAGGGGAGACTCCTCGGGGGCTGCAGCTCCTCCCGAGGGGCAGCTCCGACCTCCACTCCCTGTGAGCAGGGACAGGACCCTGGGAACGGCTGGAGCTGTGTCAGGGAAGGGTCAGGCTGGATTTTGGGAAAAGATTCTTCCCCCAGAGGGTGGTTGGGCACTGACCAGGCTCCCCAGGGTTTGGTCACGGCCCCAAGGCTGCCAGAGCTCCAGGGGCGTTTGGACAATGCTCTCAGGAGTTGGGATTTTGGGTTTAGTGGGATTTTTGGGGTGTCCTGTGCAGGGCCAGGAGTTGGACTCGATGACCCTGCGGGTCCCTTCCAGCTCAGGACATTCCATAAGTCCAGGATTCCATGAACTGTCCCTCCCCAGGGCGGGGTCTCACCCGAGGAACACGCAAAGAGGTCTCACACCGACCACCACGAGTGTCCACCCCGACCCTCTGGAACGTTCCTCCTTTGCCCAGGAATTTGTGGGGCCCTTCTGCATCA